TGCATTAAAAATTAGTTTAAGGACAGTTAGTCGTATTTCCGAGGGTGTGAAAAGTGATGCAAATTTAGAATCGCCCAAGAAAAAGCGGAGTTATATTAAACGTGTAACCAACACAGCGACATTGGATACAAGTGCCATTCGAGAAGTGATCTATAATATGTATCACAAAAGTAAGATCTTATTATAATAACTTATCAGAAATTTGCATTAATTTGTTAACTAAATTATAATGTCATATTACACATGGTTTCAGAAGAACAAGTTACGATACAAACTTTATGGTCTCGATTAAGAGATAGGGCATTATTTGATGGTAGTGCCACGTCTTTAAGGCGGTTGCTTAGGGATCTTGGATTTAAGTGGCTTAAGGACAATCCGCGACGAGGGCTCATGGAACTACCAAGTATAGCTTTGAAAAGGGTGGAATTTCTAAGGCAATACAATCAAGCCAAGGTTGAGGCCTTATACCAGTTTGTCTTCCTCGATGAAACTTGGATATTTCAAAATGGGACCATAGGTCGCTCTTGGCAAAATGGAAACCAAAAAAGCGTGAAAGCTATTAAAACAGATGGTAAAAGGTATGTACTTTTACACAATTTGCACTATAAAATTTAAAACTAATATATTTTAGATACATTATATTACATGCTGGAAATGAAAATGGGTTTATTGAGGGTAGTGAAGCGATATTTTCTTCGAAAACAAAATTGAGCGATTACCATGGAGAGATGAACCAGGACAATTTTTTGAAATGGTTTCAACATCAGTTATTAGAAAAATTGGAGAGTCCATCTATGATTATACTGGATAACGCCCCTTATCACAGCATGATATTGAACAAAGTGCCCAACAATGCATGGACAAAAAAAAATATCCAAGACTGGTTGACAAATCAAAACATACCATTTTTAAACACAATGTTTAAAACAGAGCTATTGAGTATTGTTGCTCGGTACATAATGCTTCTTAATTATATATATTTTGGTCGACAGTTTATATTTCTTTTGTTTATTCCTATTCTTAAAATAACTGCTTTTTTAGAAACAAACCACCTAAAATATACGTGATTGATGAATTGGCGGAACAACATGGGCACAAAGTTCTTCGTCTGCCTCCTTACCATTGTATATTTAACCCTATTGAGTTAATTTGGGGCATAGCAAAAGGTTACTATAACAGACATATTGGTAGAGATGGTAACAGTGAAAAAGACTGTTTGGATATGTGGAACGAGGCTCTACAAACGGTTACCCCAGACATGTGGAAAAATAGTGTTCGACATACTGAGCAAGAAATTTTTAAATGGTATGAAAGAGAACGAATTTTTGATCGACCAGACATCGAACCTTTAATAATCAACTTTGAGAGTGATGAAGATTCAGATTCAGACAGCGCTGAAGAAAGAAACTCCGACTAACTTTATTGTACAGAAAAAGCTTACACCAGTAGCTTACCTAATTTTAGAATGCATTTTTCTGTATGAATTCTGTAAAATAAATACCATGCATAAAATTTGGAGGACCCCATTTGGATTTTTATTCAGTACCTTTAAGCTATCAATTAAATATGGTAGTTTCATAGTGTCATCTGATCAATAATTGTCATACTTAATGATTATGCAAGTACAGATCTATAATTTTATTATACTATTATTTTTGTTCTCATTTGAGGTTAATATTGCTTATAAACCTAGATATGTAAATAATAAATTTTATTATTTTACAAAAAGATTGGCAACAATGTAAATTTTTCAACAGACCCACCTTGATGACGTGCACGCCACTTTGTTTGGCATTGACTATACCACATGTTATATTTATTTTCTTGGTTATAAAGAAAACTGTTTTTTTTTGCTGATTTTTTTAAGTAGGCGCTGCAAACAAGTACTTGAGTTGACGTAAATACCTGTTACCGAGTATTGTTATTATCGCGTTTTGTTATTATTACTTTATTATCAAAGATACCAGGCGGTCATTTTAGCAATAAAGAAAAGTTCGTCATGCTGACGTGCTACATTTTGTGCTACAAAAATACAGAAGATACTTCAGAAATGTGTGTTGATAAATTTGCCCAAAGAATGCAGCCAAGTAATTCCATTTTCTTATAGATCGCTCAATGTTTAAATTCAAAAGTCTGTTGCGTCTAGAAACAAGTAATCTTCAGAGGAAACCCAGAATAGTGTTTTACTGGCAGTTGCTGAGAATTCTGAGATATCAACTAGTCAAATTGAGAAAAATGTAGGAGTACCCAAAAACACAGCCCAATTTATTTTGCGTAAAAATAGATAACACCCTTATAAATTTGGGATTTGCCAAAGTTAGACCAGGGGATAGCGAACGGCGCCACACACACGAACGTGTGAAGATTTTAATTTCCCTTCAAAAATAATGGTCCAACGAGAGTACGATCACTAATAATGCTATATTTAACCGCTACAATACTCATTACTGCGTTCAAGAAAATCCAGACGTTTTGGGCTTAATATGTGGTATGCAATTCTAGGGACCATAATATTAGATCCATTTATTTACCAGAACTCATTTACTGCAGAACAGTACCTTTAGATGTTGCAACAAGATCTAGACGATTGCCTGGATAATTTACCTTTGGCACAGGTTAATAGCTGTTGGGTTAAACAAGACAGTGCACCTACACATAAGTCTAGGCAGGTTCGAGAGTATCTTTGTGAGCGATTTACCTCAGTGAGCCATGCAATTTTTACAATTTTCTCGTCGGCACGTAAATACGTCTAACAATTGTCCTATTAGAGTTGCAAAAATGATTATACAGTATTCCTTACACAGCATTGTATACTGTAAGAACATTGGCAAAACCCTCTTAGAACAGCTATACAAGCGGATGGGCACACCTAATAGGACACTTCAGTCATTTAAGAGGTTGTATAAGGGCTGCAGGTAACATTTATACAACAAAAGTGTAAGCCCCTTGCAGCCGCTATAGGACATTTGCGTCAGTGCAAGATTCAGTTTTTGTCAACTATACAACTATTCTGTTACGTGATTCTACTTTATTGCAACCAAACTGTTTCTTATGTATTGCATAGACGAAGTGAAGAATATATAACTAACACATTACAGTCATCTTGTTTACTTACATATCGGCCATTGTGAATTTCATACACAGGTATATGATAAACTTCTACCCTCCTATAGGGCTATTGAATTACTTGCGCAGCAAATTTTATTGTGATTATCGTGCAAAGTAGTTACGCAGTTTCTACGGGCTTCTTATTTCATGCATATTTTGATAATGATCAAAAGTATGTCTAGATTTTTAAGATGGAAAACTGAAGTTATCTGCGTCAAATCTTCCACAAATCCTATATTTAGACACAATTACACTAATGTTTATCACTTTATATCTGTAATTTCGAACTGAAACATAATTATTTAATATTAAATAGAGGAATAAATGTTTGCCCAATATGGCTGGTGGTTGTGTATATTCATGGCATCGTCCATGTTGTCTTCAGTTTATTAGAATATTTTGGTGTTGCCTGCAGGTGTTATACAACAATTTGACAAATGTCTGAAATGAAATACCGACAGAGTCCAATGATTTACCCAGAATTTGTACCAGATCTATATCTTCTGTTTGAACAGTTGACAAAACCTTTTGAACCAATATGCATGCGTTGTTTGTCTTAAATCATTGGTTATGGCATTTTAACAAAAATATGACAGCAGAAAGTAAGGTTATGGTGAAGTTGTATACCAACATATTCAGCATATGTACAGCCTTTAACAGTTACTAAACAACAGTTGTATAAGTGCTTCCGTTGGGAGCAACTTGTTGGCTAAAGTAGTAATATGCACAGCAAAACAACAAGGCTCGGGTTTGTTTTATAAACGTTACCATGGATGCCACAACACAACCATTTTGACTAACGTGCAAATATGCCGTATAAAATAGTTATATAAACGTTTATGCAACAGTTAAAAATTTGTCCTATAAGGTGTTTGTTGTATAACATTGCTAAAGAATATTTTAAACACCTCATTTTAGAGCAAATATGTTGCAGAAAGCAAATTTGCATTCCACACAACATTAAGCCAGCATTTTGGTGTTCACGCAACAACAATAGAGAGCTTTTATGGCTGAATGGTTCTTTTACCAAAAGCTTGTAGCACTACTTTGCTTGTTGGGACGCCCCAAAGAACGAACGCAGCTTTTTCAAGATAAGCTGCATCTTCCACATGTATTGAGATCTCCATGCATAAGGACACAGTGTATATTGGCTATACCTTCCATGGGCGTAGCCGACACTACCGCCTGAGGGGTAGCACATTCACCACAAAATGCCGTTAAAATAACGCGATCTTCCAAGAGATAACTTGATTTCTCTTCACAATATTTCGTAGTATGTAGTATTATTTATATAGTATATTCACTGAATCAAAGCAGTTACGTCACAACGTCAAATAATGACAGTGACGCACATGGTTGCCACATTAATTAAAACTACTAGATCCTAGGAAATAAACCACAAATAAACAAAAGCCGTTGGCGTAATTGCCTGACAAGCTTTGCGACAATGTCACAACACAGAAAACTGTTACCAACATAAATGTACTCGGGAAATTCAGATTATTCGTATCAATTTAGGATCTATTTTGCATTAAGGTTGGCATTCAAATTTACTAAATATAACGAAACTGCTTTGTTTCAGTGAAAGGACTATACATATAGTATTTTGCGTATATTTGAAATCCCAGAAACTATTATATTGTTGGTATATTGCAATAGTAAGCAAACAACTCCTTGTGCATTTTATTGGATAACTAATAGTTAAAAAAACTAAAAAACACGCTTTTATAGCTAATCGAACTAAAAAGTAGAACAGAATTTTTAATTACAAAGAGTTTTTATCAATTAGTTTTTTGTGGACATACATACATAATACATACATACATACATACAGGCTACAAGCTAATAGAAGCGTGTTAAAAAAAAATTAAAGAAAAAGGTCTACCATAACCTGCCTCCCGGGAGGATTGAACTAACGACTCCTGGATTACAAGACCAGCGCTCTGCCAATGAGCTACAGAAGCTTGTAGCTTCAGTATTCGTATCTTGTATCTTTTTATTAACATATCTGCTCTTTACAGAATTTTACTTATAAGGATAATGGAAAACTGTTATCAAATTATTGTATTTTCATCGGTCCTTGATACGTGCGCGAAGTTACACATTAATCAAACTTCTGGAAATTGGTGAAAATTATGCTCAAAGATTCCGTTATAGGCCAAGCTAATAAAAACCGGTTAATAAAAAGAAGCTAGTATACTTGCAATAAAAATCTAACAAAACAATCCATACCTGATAGCAGTAGAGCCAATAAAATAAACTGTTAGGTATAAGAATAAAAGTATAAAGCTTAACTACAACGAATGATCGAACTGCCTATCTTTTTTAAACAAGGCTTTCAACAATATTGTTGGTTCTGACAGAAAATATCATTCAAGTACCTACTGTTTCAATAAAATAACTCCTAAAAGAGCATAAGGAATTAATACAAGGTATACTTTATCTGAAGTCACTTGAAACACTGTGAAATACCGGGTGCGTTTTATATATCTATATTTAACACGCTCTGTTGCTGCAAAAATCGCCAAATTTCGCAGCAAATATCCCCCGTATAAGATCAAAGGCAGTTTCACCGGTCCACGTGGAGTAAAGCACGCCTATGCGTGGACATAGCCAATGAGAAAGCGTGTATTTCAGAGCTCGGAACAAGTGCAGGTGGCTACTGAAAATTGAAACAGTTTAGCCAGTGCCGTGTAGCGGTGAATAAACGTGTTTTCTTTAGTCTGTCCGTGTTTTTTCATAGATTTTATTAGTTTGTGTATTTTTGACTTTTGAATACTCAGTTTACTTGTTGATTTAATTGTTGTGTTGATTGTTCTTGTGTGTCCTAAATATGGCTCTTTGGAGACCTTGGGAAAATGCTCCAAGCCACGAGGAGATGGTTGATGAACCTGTGCAGGCAGAATTCTTTCATAAAGATTTAGAGGAACAGACCCAAAGAGTAATCCTAAATATGTATGATTGTCTGAAAAACGAAAATCTAGATTCCTCGCAAAATCAAATTTTAAACAGAATTTGTATCCTGACAAAAATCAGTCGGTCTACCATTTATCGGGTTATAAAAAGGGGAGATGTAGTCAACCTTTCCTTCCACAGAAAGCGCATAGGGCAAAAATTAAAAAGAATAGACGTGGGTTTTCAGGAAGATATTCGTCGTATAATATACGGATTTTATAAAGAAAATTTGGTGCCCACGTTGGAAATGATACGGGATAAATTAAAAGATTATCCTGAAGATTTTTATAATTACAAATGCTTAGACTCACTGCAATGTATTGTAAAACTGTGTGGTTTTCAATACAAACAATTAGATAAAAGAATGGTGATTATGGAGTCGTCTCGAATCGTTGAATTGCGCCAAGAATTTTTGCACAAAGTTAAAATCTATAGAGAGCAGAAAAGAAATCTGATTTACCTGGATGAAACGTGGTATGATACCCATGATGTTGTGCAGTACGGCTGGGTTGACGACAGCAACAAGTGCATTTTAAATGCACCATGCAACCGTGGAAAACGAATCATTATTCTCCATGCTGGCAGTGAAAATGGATTTATACCTAATGCCTTGCTGTTATCTGCCAAAAATATCAAAGAATCATGTGCCGACTATCATGAGGACATGACCTCCGACTTATTTGAAAAGTGGATAGAGCAGCAGTTAATACCAAGCATTTCCCCAAATTCAGTGATTATTATGGACAATGCGCCATACCATTCCCAACAGAAAAACAAAATTCCGAATACAGGCACAAAAAAACAAGACATTATTGATTTTATGAAGGATAAGGGAATGGAAATACCACAAAAATCAACCAAAGCCATATTATTGGATCTTATTAAAAGACAAAAATTTGAAAAAGAGTATGTTGTTGACAATCTGCTTCAGCAAAATGGCCATAAAGTATTACGTCTACCTCCCTATTACTGCATTTTTAACCCGATTGAGTTGGTCTGGGCTGCTTTAAAAAAAAAGTAAGAAAACATAATCAGACCCCTCAATTAAGTGAATCGCTATTGGCCACAATAAGGGATGCAGTATCTCATATTGCTGCCACAGACCTATGGAAGCAGTGTTCTAGGCATATTATTGAAAAAGAAAATGAATATTGTGTTTTGCCTCCTGTAAATCCCCTTGTAATTCCTCTACACGATGACTCTAGCGACAGCTCCGAAGGCGAGGATGATATATAAATACCTATAATGTAAGTCTTTATATACCTTTTTATATACCTACCTGCTATGTAAATATTTGCCTATGTCAAACGTTGGAATTCTGTAATTTTTCCATTTCTTAACTTTCAGTCAACATAAATTAAACTCCCAATATAAGTATTTTTTATCCCAAATCAAAAAAATAAGAAGATAGTAAAATCCATTTATTGTGATATAAAAACATTATTATTATCGTTCTAAATAAATGACCGCACGCCTATGATACGTCATGAAATTACAAAGGACGCGCCGACCAAAGGTTTTTATGCTATTTCAAGTGACTTCAGATAAAGTATACTTGAAAATACAAATCTAAATCACAAACAAAAGGTCGATCTTGTAATTCTTTTTCTAAATAAAGCGTTCAACAATATTTGTTAATTTTGTCAAAAGAGATACATACCAGGTACTGACAGTATGAATGAAATATGCCCTAAAAGAATATAAAGAATTCATATTATGAGGAACTTGAAAATACAGAATTAAAATAAAGAAAGGTCCATATTTCGTAAAATAAATACCAGATACCAACGTTTCAACAAAATAAGCTCTAAAAAAGCATTTTGATAAATCACCCAGTATAATTGTAAAACATAAGTTTGGATCTTTTTTTATTTTCAGACATACTACCATACTACCTACCTGCCATTTCACTATGTCCATTTGCTCACGGAGCAGTCTGTATATATCCTCTTTACAATATACATTCTACTTCCGGAATCAGGTTACACGAGAAATAACAAATAAATAAATAAATAAATAAATAAATAAATGTTGTGTATCATCATCATATTGCTAAAATTGCACGTTTGCCCTAGAATCTGGAATGGTTAACTGATCAATCCAACGATTTACTTAGGGCCGTAACGTCAGTCCTTCCTACAATTGTAGGACGCCTTTATGGCCTCCTTGATTTTCGTAGTATTTTCCCTCCTTCAGAAAGGCTGAGGTATTTCTAGATGTCTACTGTTTCGTCTCAGAGTAGTTATGTTTTCTTTTTGAATTGTAGGAAGCTTCAGGCTGACAAAATACATGATATAAATCAAAAGCGTGAACAGTTTGATGCAAATAGATATTTGTGACATAACCTCAAAATAGAGCGCTGACACGGAACAGTAATAAACTATGAAAAGCAAGGAGGCCATAAAGGCGTCCTACAAGGAACGACTGACGGCTGACGGTACGACCCTTGGTTATACCCCACGAGCATATCGTCGTATTGGAAGAAGACAATCACAACTCAAAAATCATGTATATTCAGCAGAAGGTAGAAACTCAAACTGTCACTTCGTACTATACATGGTTCGGTTACTAAATAAGTTTAACTTGTCGCATTATTCCTGATAATATGGATTATTTAGTTAGTTGGTAAGATATGATTGAGAATGGCAATTTTTGAATGGTCACAGTCTTCTTCCAAAATCGACGATATATCCATAATCACTAACTGAAGGTTTTGGCATGATCGATGACTGCTAAAAAGTATTATGTTTTTGCAGCTTTTGGAGCCACTATTTGTACGTAAGAATGTGGAATGTGGAATCCGCCTCATATTTTTCACTTGCACTATATTTCGCACATAGTCAAATACACAAAGAGGGAGAAATCAAACAACAAATAATAATAAAATTGAGAGTTGCCAGATTCATGCAGTTCAGTTTTAATCGGGAGGTTAAAGTATCATTTAGAATTCATAATACACTGACAACACCCTAATACCCAATAAGCAATTGCTTTTTGGAATCAGCATGAACCCTCGGGTCTGGGTGGTAATCACCCCCTCTACCCTCCTTGGCTCCGCGCATGATTGCTTCCAAGACATGTTAAATGCTATACAGGTTGGTTCAAAAACAATGGAAAGTTCGCAACGATATACTAGTTAGGCACAGGGTAATGTCGCATCAAAATGGCAGTCGGTCTTTTTAGACACTGGCCAAGCAGATTGAAAGGAACTTCTCGCACAGTAGCCTTCCACCACTTACGTGTCAGGATGGAACGATTGCAATAGACTTCCATGATGCCGTCGCGCGATATGCCTGCCAGATAGACCCGCCTGACTTTGGCCTCCCATCCTAACCGTGTCGAACTTCGTACATCCAGAACTGGCCAATACGACCGCTCCTTTGTCCAGAGGGTGTCGAGATTGTGGAACAATCTACAAGAGGAAGCTTTTCCCACTTCTACTAACCTTAGGCAGTTCAAAAATCAGATTAACCAAATTTCTTTGGGATCCTCAAAAAACCCGCGTTGTACCTGCGCGATTGCTTCGGTATAAAAAAAAATAATCGAAGGGTTTTCCAATAAAGACGAATCAATGCAAAAATAAAAGTTGCGTACATTGTTATTGCATATTTGTTGCTGTTTTATAAACTTTTTCTTAAAATTTAAGACAAATGATATTAATTAACAAGTAGGTAAAATTCATAATCAGACATATGATAAAGTTGAGTAGATTTCATCATTTGTCATTTGTTATGAAACAACTCGTTAATGTCTTATTTGAATTGAATTATAACCTAAAGTAGTAACATGTTACATGTCATCCACACCACGCAAAAACCTGTCACTCATTTCAGTCGGTTTGGTGACACACGCCCTAGGGGCCCAATGTTCTTTTAGTTAAAGCCTCAATACTTCAAAACCAGTCAAAATACTTTTATCCCTTATAAGTGAGGAGTATTTTTTCATATACTGAAGCAGCCGCGTAGGCAAAAACCTAAATACCGCGACTGCTACAACGACTTTCCGATTT